CCCTGAGATACGGGAACGAGTACTGCGTTGCTAGCCGTGCTATGTAGCTGCACGACTCAGTCGTCGCTTCAGTCGAAGTAACCTGAGAATCCTGTGGCTCACGCCCGCTTATATAGCCAGATGCCCCGCCCATTCTGGCGGGCTTTGGCAGGCTTGGTGGGCTTCGTCGCCATAGGCTCGTGCAGCTCAGCTGCCTAGCCATTGGTTCGTTTTTTAATACACTGCATGAACCAGTGGCCATGCAGATTCATTGCGTGAATGAAAAAAGGCTTTTTCCCATATGCGTCTAGCAAGACGTAGTACTCGTTCCCGTATCTCAGGGAACCGAGGTTACGTTAGTAACCGAGTACGTTACGAATTATTCCATGGGCCTCTGTCCATCACAGGGAGAGTAAAATGGAAAACTCTTCATATATTTGTGGTCACATCACCAATTTGTTTAAGGTTAAAAAATAAATTTATTCATTTAGCAAGATGCTTTTATCCAAAGTGACTTACAATTGAGGAATACAACGAGCGATTCACAGGAACACATGAAGTGCTCGTAATACAAAGTTTCAACTGTTCAGATTTTAAACAACTCGTTTATTGTAACTAACACATTTACTTTATCTGAATCTCACATTATTTAATTAAAACAGATCTGAAGAAAACATTTGCTCACATTGCCACAAAATACCGGCTTCTCTCCGGTATGAATTCAATGTGATTTCTGTTGTGAAAACTGAGGGAATCTCTTGTCACAGTATGAGCACTTGTACGGTTTTTCTCCAGTATTAATTATTTGGTGTTATTTCAGTTGGCCAGCTGTAGTAAAGCTCTTTCCACACTCACTACACAGGTGATCTTTCTCTCAGGTGTGTATTTTCTGATGCCAATTACAACTGACTAACAGTGGGAAAACTTTTTTCAGATTTGATAATGAATTAAACTCTCTACCACACTGATCACAGTTAAATGGCTTTTCTCCAGAGTGAACATGCAAATGATAATTGAGAATAGTTGAATGTTTGAAACTCTGTCCACACTGAGTACATTGGTACGGCTTCTCTCCAGTATGAACTCGCTTGTGTAATTTAAGGTTTCCAGGTTGAGAGAAGCTCTTGTCACAATATGAGCACTTGTAAGGTTTTTCTCCAGTGTGAATTCTCTGATGCTGCTTCAGCTGTCCAACTGTAGTAAAGCTCTTCCCACACTCACAACACACATGATCTCTCACTTCATCATGTGTTTTCTGATGTTATCTACAACAGTTCAGCCGTGATAAACTTTTTCCACAGACAGAACACACATAAGGCTTCTCATCTGAATGAAGTTTCAGGTGAACTTTTAGATATGATAACGAGGAATATTTTTTACCACACTGATCACAGTTAAATAGCTTTTCTCCAGAGTGGTGACAGATGATTACAGAGAGCTGATTTAAGTTTGAAACTCCTTCCGCACTGTGAGCAGGTGTGCCGCTTTTTGGATTTTCTTTTTTGAGTTGTGAAGTTACGACGCTCCTTCTCCTCATTTAGTTCTCGTCTTTGCTCTTTCACCTCCATCCGATCTGTTTGTTCCTCAATATCTTCATGATTCATTCTGGATGTTTCTGGATCGCTCATGTCATCAATCTCCTCTTTAATAAACTAAGACTTTGCCATGGTATATGTTACAGAGCTAGAGTTTCTCTTCTTATAGGATGATGGGAATATTGCTAAGCTTCATTGGTGGACTGTTGTGGGATGGGCACCAGATTGCGTTTCATTACATTCCTGACTTCAACTCTCGAGCTGGTTAATGTCCATAACCTCTGTAAATCGGGATCGTCTCTCAGGTGAAAATATTCCACATCAGCCCTTCTTTCACGAACGTTAAAAGGTTGTCTAGAAACAAGGGGTGGCTCAACTTCCCCACAGGCTCAAATCACCCCGCTCTCCCCTATATGTGTGAGTGTGTGTATTCTCCAACGTCAAAATCATCCGACACAGTCGGCGAAGTACTGACCCAGTGTTTACAAAGTGAAAGTGCAAAGAAGGGCAAAAAAAAGGACAATTTTGGACAAACAACAATAGGACGATTTTAAAGTTGGAGGAGAAAATGAGATGGGAGTTTTTTGACCTACTGTTTCGAACCGGAGTGCACAGAATACGCATGTGCATCGCAGAGCTAGACAAGACGAGCATTTGAGGTTAAAAAGTACATAAATTGTAATTTTTTTTATAACCGATCGTTTCGCCCTCAACTGGGATCAATTAGAGCCCTTGAAATCGGCATTGAAACTGCATTTTTAACCTTCAAACCATTGGCCACAATTAAAGTCCAATATTTGGAGAAAAATCCTTGAATGTTTTCCTCAGAAAACTTCATTTCTTTGCGACTGAAGAAAGAAAGACATGAACATCTTGGATGACATGGGAGTAAATTATCTGGAAATGTTTATTCTTGAACTAAACTCACATCTTCATTGTTTGTAGAGAGAGACATGGATGCAGGTAATTCACACACGCACCTTTCATTTCTCTCTCAAAATGGCCATATTTGAGAAAAAAGTTGAATAGTTTGCATCACTGGATATATATGTCGGTTTACATTTAAGCATTTGTTAGCCATTTAACATTTCTATCGTAACAGTTGACTAATTAAATGATGTGCAACTTCCATCTTACCTCGCTCTCTTTCAAGGTTAAGTTGGAATTCGCGCTCTGCTTCTTTGAACAGTAAACCCAGCCTGCTTTGATTTTATTGGCCAATGGCCAGCTCAATCACTTTGACATTGACACACGTTGTTAGCTCGCTGAGGCAGACAAGGATGAAAATGTAACTTTAGCCCTATTTGTGATAAAATTCATGGATTTGGATGGCGATTTATTCCCAGTGGAGAAGTAAGTTTTGTGATCCTACAAACCTGGGAACGTGCTACTCACGTGGCCAGTCACATGATTGTCATGCTCTAAATAAAATTAATTTTATTTACAAATGTATTCTTATTATTGTGTAAAAATCCAAGCATATTTTATAATATATAATCATATTTATTATTTGATTATTTAAATCTTAAATGTAAAAAATAGGAAAATAGACATGCTATAGTTGAAAATAATTATATGCGAGTATATAACTGTATATAATACACATTTTAAAATTGTATTGCATACCTGCTGCTGCCATAATAACGACCAATTTCAAATGTTTACATGCTTTTATTCTCTTTCTGCTTCCACTCGCTGTGGTGGAGCAGTTATGAGATATTGTAATTGTATATACTTTCCAGCATTTCAGAAATAAATATGCATGCAAATTACAGCAAAGTATAACAGTTATTATATGGTATTCGGCATTGGTCAAAAGTATTTAACACTGGATTTTGAATCGATTTCTTCTTGTAAACTCAGAGATGAGGATTCGGACGGCAATTCAATTACCACACGACCAGTGGTTGAGAAGCTAGAGTTTTATACAGGGGGTGGCCAAGGCTAATTCAGGGGGTCCATGACAGTAAATCAGTGTATACCTCCAACCCTATTGTTAAGGTTGATTTGTATAAAAGTTCATATTAGACCATTTTTATAATAACATTATATAGTGGTGGCGAAAAATTATTAGTTTCCATTTATCAAATCAATTTATCAAATATCAGTTTACATTTCCAAACATTCATTTTGCCATTAATTGTAATAATCCAGTGAGATTTTTGTCTGACAACAGCCAGTGCTCCACACAGAGATCTGATCTGATCATCATCCAGTCTGTCTGGAATGACATGAAGAAACAGAACAAACTGAGACAGACTCAATCCAGAAGAACTGTAACAACATCTCCAAGATGCTTCAAGAAACCTACCTGCAAAGTTACAGTTCTATTAAAAGTGTTAGGCGGTTGTGTAAAAATGCTGTAAAATCAGGATGCTGTCAAAAATAATGTCAGAAATAGATATTCTTTATCAATTAACTTCAATTAACTAAATCAAATCAACATTTGGTGTGACCATCATTTGCATTTAAAGCAGCTTTTGCTCTGGTGCACTTGCACATAGTTTTTCAGGTAGCTTTGCAGGTAGGTCTCATGAAGCATCTTGGAGACGTTGCCAGAGTTCTTCTGGATTGAGTCTGTCTCAGTTTGTTCTGTTTCTTCATGTCACTCCAGACAGACTGGATGATGATCAGATCAGATCTCTGTGTGCAGCACTGGCTGTTGTCAGACAAAAATCTCACTAGATTATTACAATTAATGGCAAAATGAATGTTTGGAAATGTAAACGGATATCTCCTACTGACACACTACAGCAAAAGATAGAAATAACAGACTTAAAACCCTTTTTTAGCTAGTGAAAATACTAGTGTTCTAATAATTTTGGCCACCACTGTATACATTTTTATTAAATATAATAAAAAGAGCAATTATGAGTAAATATATAATAAATTTATTTTTTGCAAAATTCTCCTCTCTAGTGTACATTTCTCTAGTTTATGGACAGTGAATGGATTTTCTGCTATATGTGACTGTTTTCAAGCTGCTGTCTTTCCGCGGTTAAAACATTCATTGAGTGATTAGCCTACATGAGACATACATTTAGTAAGTTGTAGTGTATCATTCAACATGGGTCAGCCGTTCATTCAATGTTTATTTGATGCTAATTAGAACGCACTCCTGCTTCGCTTGAACTTGACATGAACTTGAGGCAAAGCGGGAGCGTGCATGAACCGTTACGCCACTAAAGAGCTCCAAAACGGAATTTATCGTTTGAAATTATTTTATAAATAATTATTTGTTTCCTATTATCAAAAGTGACCTTTCTCTGTCGCATCTGTTAGCTCGTTGTCTTTCTCCTCTCTGCTCTGAGATGTTTTTCACTCCGTAAGAAAACGTGTTGAGAGAGCGCGCGAGAGGCTGGAAATGGACGAGATGAAGCGCGATGCGGAGCACCAAACGCGTCTCGTCCTTGAGTTCGAGCCTTCGAGGCTAAAATAAACGCTTCTTTCAGTACGATTAAACAAAGAAAATAAAATAGTAGCAAATTAATTATTGGGGTGGCCGATGATACCTTGCTCCTCCATGAAGTCCAGCTCCTCTTTCAGCCTGTCTCGCAGGGCAAAAGGAACTCTCCTTAGTGGGTGAAGGACTGGCGTGGCTGTCGGGTCCAGCTGGATGTTGCATTTTCCAGGAAACAGACCAATGCCTGTAAACACATCAGCAAATTAATCTTTACTCGATTCAGAATCTTTCTCTGGGGAGGATACAGACAGCACCAGTTTAAACATGTCCAAGTCTAAGCATGCTTTTAATCCAAGCACGGGTGGTGACTGGGTGTCCACAATAAAGAAGCCTAGTGGCATGGCATTCTCTTTATAGTTGCAGTGCAGTTGGCATGTGCCTTTAAAGGGGTCATATGATGCTGCTAAAAAGAACCGTATTTTGTGTATTTGGTGTAATGAAATGTGTTTATGCGGTTTAAGGTTCAAAAAACACATTATTTTCAACATACATTTGTGATCGGAGAAATGACAAACAACAAGCGCTACTCTACACTGCTCAAAACTCGCGTTTGAATCATCAGTGGCAAATGATAAAAGAAAACGTACTTACGTGAGTCAGAACTGCCGGCATTTTAGTCTAACGTTACTCTCCCAGGATCAGTAAACAGTCCTCCATAAAATGTGCTGCACACATCTGAATATTTGGGTTGAAGTGTTCTGGAACAGTGTTGTAAATACAACCGTGTCCATTTTTGGAAGGCCAAACAAAGTAGTTTCGCTTTCACAACGAAACAGCGTCACACACGGTGGCCTAGAGTGAGCAGAGGCCGGGGGCTAGCGTGAGGAACGGCCGGAAGGGTTAGAGTGAGCAGCTTGAGAACGGCGCGGCCGGCAATTTCGACGAAGGAGTGTCCAGAAGGACATGTGACGACTCCGGGATGGACTCCGCTTCGTCCACGGTGAAAGCCGATCCGGCGATCCACAGCGCAAAGTTGTAGTATTTCCTCAGCAACCAGCACGGATCAGCTCCAGGCATGACAAAGCAGATATCGTCCTCTTTTGGAAGACCAAACAAAGTAGTTTCGCTTTCACTACGAAGCACACAGCGTCTTTACGACATGGCGGTGGAAACAACAAAACTACAGCGAGAATAAAAGTTACGCCTTCTTTCTTTGCGTGAACATTTGGGCGGCGTTATGCAAATCTTCCCACATCGTGACGTAGACATATGGGGGCGTGTTAGAACGAGGCGTTTTAGGTAGGAGTGGCTGACTCTTAACTTTTATAAAGAATATCTCTTTGGATTTGAGACTTTAGTCTTTGCAACTTTACAGATCTTCTTTATGCACCAAGAGCTTGTAACACTCCAAAGAGAAAGGAAAACTTGAAATCGCATCATATGACCCCTTTAAAGCGACTCTGAAAATATTAGTGCGTTTTCATCGGATTCAAATATTATGTGCTAACTTTAGAATCGTATCTCTGTTTAGTAACCGTGGTAATTTTAGTTAGATTAAGTCAGTTTACAAATAAACGCTTGGTGACGGCGCCTCCGTGTTCTTCAGGCTGAATAGAGCTGTTTTACATTAGCGCCTCATTCATTCCACGAGTCTGCAGATCAGCACAAAGTTGGGATTTTCTACGCAAATTATGATAATTTACTGTATTTTAGTAATGGACAAACACGAACATAAGCGGCGATTTTACGTTTTAAAGCACAACCGTTTTTGTTGTTGTTTGTACATTGCTCAATGCGTCACAAACATTATTTTGTATAAAGTGCTAATAAAATGTTTTCATGGCAAACTCATGTTTCCTTGTTTAACTCTTAATAAAATATTTGAGCCTATATATTGGTTCTCATAGTTTTTAAAGGTTCCTATTTTATAGTATATAAGTGCCCATGCATGTTACATAAGGTATTAAAAATCCAATTATTTATGTATCCATCTCCTCATTGTGTGCGCGTGTGTGTTCTAATCTGTGTATGTACGGGATGAAATTAGTTTAAGTTATTAACATTCAGTGTAGCCATATAGGCCTAGCTGCATAACTATATCAAATATAAAATCACTTTGAGCTGTAAATCTGTGCAATATAGGCAACGTGAGGACTTTTAAGAAGGTGAGTAAAAGAGACCTTCACTGTGATTAATATATATTTTTTATTTATTAGGCTAAGTAATGACTATAATAACCACTAAAAACCTAAAAGGGATATTCAGTAAAGTATAAAATTCTATTTTACAGTGATTCCTGGTTTGAGGATCGAGCCACAAAGCCAGTAATTTAATTTGTGCATAAATAGCCTACATATAAATGTATAAATAAAAATATACAGCAGAGAAGTGTTATAAACATTTATTGCTTAAGTACGCACGTAAGCACATTAATAATAATATTTGCTGTAGATCAGATTTAGCTGTTTTGGTAAACAAAAACATTCAATATGGAAATATATATTGCTTCAGCATTGCAAGGTTTTTATTCCCATTATCCACTCATAAAACCCCAGTTCACGCTGATGGTCAGGGGCTATTTGGTATTATTGTCTTATTTGCTGCGCTTTAAAATAAAATTAAGACAAAATTGCGGGTTTGTCCAATGTCTTACTGAACTACAGTAATTTATTATAATGTTATCATTATCAGTTTGTGCTTATTCACCGATAATGTAAATATGAAGAATATACATTTAATTATATATTATACAAAATATTATACTAGCTAAAAATAGCTAAATCTTAAACAGTGGATCATTTTTATCGCCCAGCTCTTAAACTGCTCAATGTTATGTCTGCTTTGAAACAATGTGTATTGTGAAAAGCGCTATAAAATCTGACTTCATTTAACGTGATATAGGCTAGGTATAGACTAGCCTATATCGTGGCCACTTAATTCGTGAGCAGCACATATTACACAGCTCTGTTCTGCCCGAAGTAGGCTACTTGGAGATGCCCTCACCAAGCGTTTGTTTGTAACTTAATCTAACTAATCTGCTAAATGCATAAATTACTAAATTATTATTATATTAACTAATCTAACTAATTCGTCTTAAGTTAAAAAAACATTAGCCAATTGATTCTAACTGAAATCGCTGTGATTAGCGCTTAATATTTCTGTACGTCAAACAGCGTAGATCGTTCATAAAAACATACATAAAAGAATGCGCATTCTCCTGTCTCAAGCGTCAATAAGCTCTGCTGTATTATAAACCAATGAAATTTGGGGGTGTGTTGATTTATTTACTGCTTTGACATGACTACTGAAACTAAGGTCTGTCTCCAGAATCACACCAAGATTCCTGACTTGATTTTTAGTTGTTTGACCCCTAGAGTCAAGGTATGAGTCTTCTTTTTCGTGGTATTATTCCAGTCCCGAAAAGTTTTTAGTTTTTGCTGATCTGCTGGAGTTAGAATCTTAGAAAAATCTGAGAAAAGTACATAAACAGAGAGCAAAGCTCGGAGCAGTAAGCAAGAGCGTCCGAACAGTAGCAAGGCCAGAAGCATTTAAAAGCGCTGCATAATGGATGACAGCAGATTGGTGCAAGAATTTCAAATATCAAGTCATTACTCATAGTTTGCAACAAAGTTTGATTATTAATAATAGACCTATCACATGTTTTGTGATGAATATAGCAGTGAATGATGAAATATGGACAGTAATATCACAAATGCTTCATATTGTAATAAACAAATTCAACATAAAAAAGAATTTTCATTATTACACCCAACACTTGTCAGCAAACTAAAAATAAGTATTAATTTTAAGTAACATTAAGTAACACATTTTATCCCAAAGTCTACAGGTGTAGAAACCATTTTCTCAATGAGCAGGAATCTGCAATCACCTTACAATAGAACAGGGGAAAAAACAAACATTATATTGTCTGAATGCAAGGCATTATCTTTGTAAAGCAGAATGATTTGCATTGTAAAAATTGATATACAAACGCAACAAAAGTAAAAAAGGAAAACTAAAATGTATACTGTATTTTAATTACAAGCATTTTAATTTGATAAAATGAATTAATAATCACTTAAATTACATTTACTCATAAATGATATTTACTCAAATGATTGTGATTCAATGTCTCCAGTGGTTCAAAATCATCTCTACGTTTCTGAGAATCGGATTAATTATTGTTGGATTGTGACTTCTGTTTTCTCTTCTGTTGAAGACTTCTGGATCTGATGTCATAAACCAGCACAGCAACAGTAGCCACACCCACCATAGCAGAGAGAGCCAATCGGATCACAGCTTCAGTAGAACCACAGCAGTAGATACAATCTTATAAGAGAAGAAATTAGCGACATAAAACATAGAAATTTGATTAATGTACTATGTAGAAAAATATAATGTCGCTGACAAACCTAAATGTGTGTGACAGAGTCCACTGATGTTGAGATGTTGAGTCTGGTTAGTGAATGAATTGTTGAGCACACAGCTGTAGGTGTTTTTCTCCTGATATTCCACCTCCAGAGGTAGAGAGAGACTGATGCTGAGATCAGACACACTGATGCTGGACAATAAACTGTTTCCTTTGTACCAGGAGAGAGTCACATAACTGACATTCACCACTGAACACACCAGTGAACAATTCTGGTACAAGCTCAGAACAGAACAGTCTCTGCTGATGACGGGAACGAGCAGACGAGCTGGAGAATATTGGAGAATTATTCAGTTTGTAAAACTGGTTTGTTGGTTAGTTGATATTTAAAATTGATTTAAAACATTTAAGAAACCAGTGTTATAAAAGGCTGATTATTACATTACTAATCCTCTATCATTTATAATATTAGTAATTATGACACTGATTCATGTCAAAAGACACACACACATATGTATATATAAAAAACAGGGAAGCAATTCAGTAATTCTCTACTCACCATGGACAGTAAGACTGAAGATGTTGAGTGGGGTCCCTGAGCTTTTGCTGGTTACTTCATAAAGTCCAGAGTCTGTGGTTCTGGTGTTTGTGATGCTCAGAGATCCAGTCTGATGATCCAGCTTCAGTCTGTCTCTGAATCTCCCATCAGAACTATCCTCATAAAACCTGCTCTTATTGTCCTTCCCGTAGATTTTAGCTATCATAATGTTTTCAAATTTCCACGTTATCTCATCGTCTCTCTGTATTTCAGTAAGATCAGAGTTTAGACTTACTGATTCTCCCTCTGTTACTGACACTGACTTCACTGACTCAACACCAAACACGCCTGATGAAAAAAAAAAAAACATAATTACTGAGAATCCAGAGATTTACCAGATTTTGAGTTTTTGTCATTTTTAAACTATTCTCTTCATTCTTTACAGAAGTATTTAAGTAGGTTTAGTCTGATCAAACTTGTTTTTATCAAGGGAAAATGAATGATGGCAAAAATAAAGAACAAAATGATCTGTATGTAGACAAATGGTAATATAAAGAGAACTGAAGCCATATTTACCAGCCAGATTCCATGAGAACAAAAAGGAGAAAATAAACATGTCAAACATTTTCTTCAGCAGATCTCCTAACAGTTTCACAACAGAAATATTACAATGATCAGGTCCTGACACTCTTGAAATATTGAATGAAGCTGTCATTCTGTAGTGAAACTCTTCAGTGAGTGTGAATAAACTCCTCCAGTAGCTCCTCCCATCACAGGTAGACCTATTTCGGTAATTATTTAAGTTTGAGAACAGTTAATAATGACCTATGTCTTTCAGACTTATAATAATTATGCATTGTTTTCTTTCTTAAAATTGAATTAATCTGTTATTTCAGTCCTTCTTGAATGTACAAGTTTCTGATTTTATATTGATGACATGTTAGTTAAGCAATTTTGGGAGTGCAATTTCTTCCAGATTTTCAGCACGATTGAAAATGTGATGTGATTTTGATTGCATTACAGTTTGATTAACAAAAAGTTAATAACTTACACTTTAGACATACATTGTCTGTTTTTGCTCCTTTAACGAAAACAGTTCCAAACAAAGTCACAGCAGAACCACAGTAAATGCTAATCTACATAAACTACATGAAAAAAATGTTTTCATGAAACGAGAAGGTTTAAGGTCTCCCTGTGCTTTTCTGACAAGAAAAAAAAGCAAAGAAGGAGAAGAATAATAAGAAGAAATAAGATTTTGACATATTGACTTGAAGTTAAGATATTAGTTTAAGAGGCTGTTTACGTTTGCATGATCTCTCTGTGTTAATGTGCCCTTCTGTGATCCTCCTGTACACAGAAGTACAGTAGAGAATGGATGGGTCACTACAGAAATCCCTCAGTGTATTCAAAGAACCACTTATATAAGCTGAAGATTATGTTGAAATTGATTTAATTACAGTGGCTTCATATTATTCCCAGAGAACCCATGGCACGTCTGTGTGTTTTGAATCTGACAGACTAATGGCCTAGAGCTTCATTTTTGCTTTAATAATGGAAAAAGTTTAAATATTGTTTTTTTAGAAAGAGTTCACCTTCTCTTTCCTTCTGTCTGTAGTTCAAACAGTGTCATTTTGAGAAGTCATATTCAGTCAGTGAAGGGAGGAGCTACTGGATGAGTTTATTCACACTGACTGCAGAGTTTCACTAAACCACTTCATTACAGACCGACAGCTTCATTCAATTTATGAACAATTCAAGGTTTACTATCACAGTTCTGTTGTGAAGCTGCCTTGCAAACTGCTGAAGAAAATGTTAATTTGCATATTTTTGTTTTCACGGAGTCTGGCTGGTGAGTATTTGCATGGCTTCAGTTTTATTTATATTAAAAGTTGTCCACAAATATAATTCTGTTATTTATTATTCCATCATTTATTTTGCCTTTAATATTAACAAGTTTTGTCAGACTAAACTTACTTAAATACTTCTGTGAAGAATGAAGACAATAGTTTCAAAATTAAAAAAACTTTCAGAAATTATTTTACTCAGTAATTATGTCTGTTTTTTCATCAGGCGTGTTTGGTGTTGAGTCAGTGAAGTCAGTGTCAGTAACAGAGGGAGAATCAGTAAGTCTAAACTCTGATCTTACTGAAATACAGAGAGACGATGAGATAACGTGGAAATTTGAAAACATTATGATAGCTAAAATCTACGGGAAGGACAATAAGAGCAGGTTTTATGAGGATAGTGCTGATGGGAGATTCAGAGGCAGACTGAAGCTGGATCATCAGACTGGATCTCTGAGCATCACAAACACCAGAACCACAGACTCTGGAGTTTATAAAGTCACCAGCAAAAGCTCAGGGGCCCCTCTCAACATCTTCAGTCTTACTGTCTATGGTGAGTAGGGTATTACCCTGTTTGTTGCTATGGGTGTTTCTGCAAGAAAATAAGTATTTTAATCATTTTTAAATCTGTAATGCTGACTCCTTCTCTTATTAAGGCTAATTACACAAGCTAGCATTTGTGCACCCATCTTTTTTTGTTTGGATTTAGCTACATGCTCAACATTTACAGTTGTCTGCTTGTTAAACAAGTATACTATTCTTTCAATATCAGATTTTAAAATGCTCTATTTTTGAGTAGTCCTGGTTCCTCATCTACGTCATACCCATTATATTCTCTCATGTTTTCCAGCTAATCTGCCTGTTCCTGACATCATTAGAAACTGTTCATCATCATCACCATCACAGCAGAATTGTTCACTGCTGTGTTCAGTGGTGAATGTGAGTAATGTGACTCTCTCCTGGTACAAAGGAAACAGTTTATTGTCCAGCATCAGTGTGTCTGATCTCAGCATCAGTCTCTCTCTACCTCTGGAGGTGGAATATCAGGAGAAAAACACCTACAGCTGTGTGCTCAACAAT